CAACTCATACAGTATTGCCAGCACACACATATCAGGTGTTGCCAGCATAATTTATAACTAAGTCATGACAAATTAAGCTAGATTCGTTTTATTTGACCCAGATTAAGCTATTAGCTTACCGCGCTCAAATAAAACACGCCTAATGCCACCAGTGCATAATTGCGAAAGGAGGGGAGGGGGCGGGGGACGCGAGCACGACGTGGTGTGATGCGGGGCGGCGAGCGACCGCGGACCGCCACGACGCTGGGCACTTTCAAAATTGTATACTTACAAATCCGCCCATTTAACTTGTTCGTGTATTACTTTTTGTCAATTGTAACTGGGTGACTATTTATTAGAGCTCTTGTTAATCGACTAACCGATTAATCGGTTAATCGAATAGAAAAAGTTGTCTCAAAAAATAATCGAATACCATTAATCGATTAACCGTTCACTTGGACTAACCGTTCATAATCGACTAGTTGTTTTCATTCGATTACTTGCCAGATTCGACTATTCGAATAGTTATCTTCGTTCAATATTTCATAAGTTTTGCGGTTCATCGGCTTTGAATATTTATAGTACCAAAAATGGTGTGGTACTGCATGAATTATGATGGAGATGAATACGTGACTTATAGCAAAATATGCAAAATTCAAAGTGAATACATTGTAATATATATTTATCTGTAAATACATGCATACATATACATTAGTCAAAAGAAAACATATTATATATTGTATTATTATATTATTATATATTGCAGACACATATAATTGGTTTTTTGTGATTGAGACAGTTTAAATAGAAAATAACGTTTTTCTGTTATCAAATGAAGCGAAAATAAACTAAATAATATTAAAACAACATTTATTTGTTAACATATTGTAATTTTGATTGATTTAGTTTAGTGAGTATTCATAAAACATTTATTTTGATATACGAATGTCAACATATGTACATTCTGCGGAAGTAAGCAACTTCTGCGTGCTGTAACAATGTTACCCGCGCTTGAAAATGTTCTTTCTGATTCTGCTGAAGTTGCTGGAATAGAAAGATATCTTTTAGCAATCTCAAAAAGTTACGGATAAATCCCAGAGTGATTTGTCCACCATATGAGCGGATTGACGTTGTGCCCAATTTGAGGCTCAGCAGCATAAAAGTCCAATTGAGTTTGCAAATCACTATGGCTGCTTTAAAGTTGAAATAAAAAGTCCAGTTGAGTCTTTTGAGAAATCTGCTGTGGCTCATAAAAATCCAAATTATGGTTTTGCAATAAAGAACTTATAAAGGAAACCACCTTAACCTGCGTTTAACCCGGGCTTGGTTCGGCACATTCACTATTAGCTACATCTGTGGTCCTGGGGAGGATAAACTATGGAAAATTACCACTTATTAGTTCGTCAACATAAACATATATTTCCAGGTCCTGCTCCTTGTCCCTCTTATGAATGGCCTTCAAATGGGTTGCCAAAGACGATGTCGAATTACACTGTGGAACAAATTCAGGATAGCAAAAGTTAGGTCGATTCTGAGAGCCTCACTCTGAATAGTGAAAATAGGTCAAAATAGAGGCTAAATTAGAAGACCCGTATCGCGGCGTTTGTTTATGTTAGTTCCAATTTTTTTTAATCGACCTTCGAACTTTGCAGTCAAATGCCGATTTTCAGCATACTGTTTATATGGTTTTTTGGCTATAACTCGTCGACTAATTGATATTTTTTCAATATGTTAAAGCCAAATTATTGCTAGAGACCTGTGCAACAATTAAAATTAAAAAAAAATTGATTTAGATAATTTTTGTAGTGCTTATGAAGCAAAATGTTGGACATTTTTTTTCATGCTTTTTGAACATATTTTCCACAAAACTAAGTATTTTTTGCTTTCTGTTTGATCTATAATATGCTTCTCAGTTTCTTCAATAAATTTAATTTGAAAAGAAAACAATTATAATACCAAACTTGCGTTTTCCAGCTTAATATTAATTTACTTCTCATTTCTTATGTACCAATTTTTTCAGTGTTGGTTTTGAAGAAACATTGAAAAAGAAATTATAAAAGTATGGAAAAAAATATAATTTTGAAATGTTAGTTATGAAAAGTTTTAAGCAAAAAAATTAAATAAATTAAATTAATGATTTGACCAGTTGCCGTTTAGCAGGCGGCTGTGTATCAACATCACTGCTCTCTCTAATATCTTAGTCATCGTCATCATCATCAGAAAGGTCGATAATTTTGTCCAACAGATATTTCTGGTATTTCATCTTTGTCTTCCCCTTCTTCCTCTTTTTCCTCGTGTTCCTCTTCTCAAAGGTGTTTTTATACCACCAACAAATTTCAGCGAGTATTGCATCTGGAGATTTCTTTCCTCTGTACCTGAAACGAAAATAGTTTTCAATCGTTAACATGTTTAAATTGTGCACTCTGACAAAGATATTAAAAAAATCTAGGAATTCAAAATATGCACACTCTATAGTTACCTTATTT